GAGAGAGAGAGAGAGAGAGAGAGAGAGAGAGAGAGAGAGAGAGAGAGAGAGAGAGAGAGTGAATGGCAAAATTGAAATATGGGTCAAATTGCGGCTGCGATCTATTTTGCAGTTGGAATAATTTTTTTCAATTTATTTAGCGTTTTTCCTGGAAAGATCACAACAAAATCTACGAGTACTCCAATTTTCAGGTTTTTTCACTCATTCTTCTGAGCGTGAAAACTCACTGAAATTGGAGTACTTTTTTAGTTGGCCCAGGCATGGCTGAGTGGCAAAAATGGAAAACGTGCCGAATCGGCGTGGCGATTATTTTGCAGTGTAAATGATTTTTTGTAAATGTTCTATTATTATTTCTGGAAAGAACACAACCTCATCTATGGATTCTCAAAATTTCAGATTTTTGTGCATGTTCGTCCGAGCACAGAAAATCGCCAAAGTTACCTCTTGCAAAACGCCTATTTCGTTGTGCCTGACCTCCCTGTTTTGAGAAGACGGGGCTCAATGCCTGGGCCTGAGGGCCCTTTCGCAGTTCACATGCCCTCACTTCTTTTTGGGGTCTGCTTCTACCCGGGGACCGGTCCAACGAACTTCTTTTTGGGGTCCACTTCTGCCCGAGGACCGGTGCTTCCTTTTTCCAAAAGTCCCGGTTCTACCAGAGCTGTAGGTGGTCCGCAATTTTGCCAAGGACCGGTCCCCCTATTTTTTTTGCCCCCTAAGAACCCACTTTGCATCCTGGTCGCCCGCCACCAAAAATGCGACACCTTGACACAGACGCGGAAGCCCACTATACCGCAGCCTAAGGGCTGGGCCGGTCAGTTCGGTGATGATATCTGAAGGCCGTCGCCCTTTCATAAAAGAAGGGGGGGAAAAGAGAAAGACAGCTTGTATACATTCATGATCAGGGTGTGATGTTCCGGAAAGACGGTAGTGATCTGTTTGAATCTGAACGTTATGAAAATTTTATCAGAATTGAGGCCCAGCGCAAGTGTTTGGGTTAGAGGCGTTTTTTTTTTGAAGTCATGCTGACGGCCACTTGCTTTTCTACCTTTTTACTGTGCCTTTTCCCTTCTTTTCCCCCTGCTTGTTCTCTGTCTTTTTTCTCTCTCATGTCGTCACAACCCTTTTCTTTTCCTTTCGGTGCTAACCTCTGTGTGTGTGTGTGTGTGTGTGGTCATATTCGCAATACACCACTCCACAAAGAAAAGCATGAACCTGTGTGCGTGTGTGCGTGTGTGCGTGTGGGTGTTGAGGTGGGAGGTTGAGAAGGCGGAGGCTGAGGTGAGGGGAGCGCGGGACGGATCAAGGGGGTAAGGAGGGGGAAGGGGAGGTTTCGGGGTTTATGTGTGAGTGTGGGTGTGTTTTACCCTCTGGAAAGGATTACGGTAAGGACCCGCGCGCGCGCGCGCGCGCGCGTGTGTGTGTGTGTGTGTGTGTGTGTGTGTGTGCGCGTGCGTGTGTGTCTTGATGGAAGTGGGAGAGGTGGGGGGCGAGGTCAGAGGAACCTGGGGGGGATCAAGGGGGGAAGGGGAGGTAGGTGGTTTTGGGGTTTAGTGTGTTTATGGGTGTGTTTTACCATCTTCCTGGATCGGTGGTTTTGGGGTTTATGTGTGTGTACGAGTGTGTTTTACCATCTTCCTGGAAACGATTACGGTACGGACACGTCCGTGTATGTGATGTAAGGCGGGGGAGCCGGGTGCTGAGATGAGGGGAACCCTGGGGGGGATCAAAGGGGGAAGAGAGGGGAGGTGGAGGTAGGTGATTTTGGGGTTTATGCGTGTGTGTGGGTGGCAAGGCTTACGGACACGTGGCAAGGCTTACGTAATCAGGGAAAGGGAAACGAAAAGGAAGAAAAGGGCGGCAGGAAGAAATGGCGATGAGGGAGGAGCCCACGTGTCCAGATGGAACCCATCGTTTGAGAGAGGTGGGCGGTGGGAGAATGAGTGAGTGGGAGAAAGGGAAATTGTTCAGGTCGCTGGAAAAGTCTCTGCACAGGATGGAGAGGGAGGACGCACGGGCAGTAAGGAGCGGGAAGGAGGGAGGAGGAGAAAAGGGGAGTTGGTGGTGGAGAGCGGAGGAGGCGGCGATGGGTGCAGAGGGAAGTGGGCGTGTGGTCAAGGAAGGAATCTCGGCAGCAGGCGATAAAGAACGAATGACAGCAGCTCCAGCAGCAGCAATAGCAGCAGCGACAGCAAGAGTAGTGGTAGTATTGGGAGGAGAAGAAGAAAGAGGAGTAGAAAGGGGACGAAGAGGAGGAGGAGGAGGAGGAGGAGGAGGAAGAGGAGGAGAAGGAGGAGGAAGAGGAGGAGTAGGAGGAGAAGGAGATGGTGGTGGGCGTGTGGGCAAGGCAGGAATCTCGGCAGCAGGGGCTGAAAGACAAATGACAGCAGCAGGGGCTAATGGACAAATGACAGCAGCACCAGCAGCAGCAACAGCAGCAGTGCCAGCGGTGGTAGTACTATTGGGAGGAGAAGGAGAAAGAAGAGTAGAAGGGGCAGGAAGAGGAGGAGGAGGAGCAGGAAGAGGGGGAGGAGAAGGAAATGGACATGGTGATAAAGGGGTAGCGGGAGGAATGATCGAATGTGGAAACTTCATGATTGACGGAGAAGCAGGTAGAGAGGGAGACGAAGCAATTGCAGAGCTGTCCGACAAGGGAAGAGGGTCTGCAAAGGGGGAGGGAGGAGGGAAGGGGGGAGGAAAAGGAGCAGCAGTAGCGGCAGGAACACGAGCAGCAGCTGTAGCAGCTACTTTACCAGCAGTAGGACGAGCAGGAGGTGGCCGTGACGAAGTGGATAGGGATCGGATAAATCCCCGTCTCTCCTCCGCTGCTGTTGATGGAGTTGTTTGGGAGAGAGGGAATGGAATGGGAGCTGATTCTGGCCATCGCGGTCGACTTGCTACCGCCATGCCTGAGTGTGTGTGCAGTCATCCAGAGAAGAAGGGAGGAGGGGGAGCGGTAGGTGGTTTTCCCTTGCGTTCTTCAGAGAACGCTTGCATGGGGCATTTGTCCCCAGAAGGATGTGAGAAGTCTCGGAGTATCAGTGCTAATCTCGTTGAAGATGATTCAGTCATCATCAGATCCGGAGATCGGCGAGCTTTTGTCAATGGAGTTGGAAACGCTGTTCTTTCCATTTCGGGAAATCGCAGGCTATTGCTCTCGGAGTCTCGACGGCAAGGCTTGAATGCTGCTGCTGCTGCTGCTGCTGCTACTGCTCACGAGGACGACGATGGTGATGTTGTGCCACGTGTCAGCAATCTGTTCACGGAACCAGCAGCAGCACAGATACTGGGTAGGGATGAAGGAAAAGCGGGCGGAGGAGAAGAAGGTGGCGATGGCGTACGTGAAGGAGGACGAGGAGGGGAAACAGGAACACGAAGAGGAGGAGGAGGAGGAGGAGGAGGAGGTGCGTGTGTAATTGGTGGTGGTTGTCAAGGGTCGAATGCTGCTGCTGCTGATGCTACTGCCCATGATGATGATGATAATGGTGTGCCACGTGGCAGCAACCTGCTCACTGCAGCAGCACAGATATTGGGTAAGGACGAGGGAAGAGCAGGTGGAGGAGAAGACGGCGGCGATTGCGTACGTGGAGGACGAAGAGGAGGAGAAGCAGGAACAGGAGGAGAAGGAGGAGGGGGAGGAGAAGGAGAAACGGGAGAAGGAGGAGGAGGAGGTGCGTGTGTAATTGGTGGCAGTTGGCGGAGAAGGCGAAATCTGAGGGCGGAGAGAGAGTGCGAGATGGGATTGGTCGTAGAGGAGCATTGTGCGAAGTTGCGCGACGCACCAACATCGTCGCAGGTGCAAAGCGCCGCACATACGAGCTTTCTTCCCACCGGGGTGTCGTTTCTGGAAACCGGCGGAGAGAAAGATGGAAAACAGAACTTGGAGGAGGAAGAAGAGGAGGAAGCAGAGGAGGAGAAGATGAACGTGGAACTCGGGGACGGGAAAGAAGAAAGAGGCAAGGATGGGAGAGAGATCACAAAGGGAGTAGGAAAGGGACTGACTAAGGATGGGAGGATTTGGCAAGGACAAAGCCGAGGAGGAGGAGGAGGAGGAGAAAGAGGGAGAGGAGAGGGGCTTGGAATCGTCGGGAGAGAGGAAGAACCGGAGAAGGATGTGAGTGTTCTGGAAGGAAAGAGCGTAGGAGGAGGAGGGGGAATAGGAGCAGGAGGAGAAAGAGGAGGAGGAGCAGATAGCAGGTGCGGAGAAGAGAGAGGGAGAAGGGAATTGGGAAGAGCGGAGCCGTCTGAGGTCCATGGAGTTAAGAGATACATAGAGGAGGAATGCGGGGGGGAGAGAGGAAGAGGTGTAATGAAGAGGCCGAAACTAGGAGTTCTCGGGCGGGGAAGATGTGAACCTCCCTTCTTGAAAAAATGGGAATTGGAAAAGGGAGGGGGCTCTAGATCGGGGAGGAAAGTCGGGGTTGAAATAAGAGGGGGAAATGAGAGCACAGCCGCACGATCAGGGGGAATCTTCAGCGGATTCTGCGGAGTGATCATCCCGGGAGGTGTTGCTGCAAAACGCCTGCAGGTGACCTTTTGTTCGCCCAGACCCGGGATCTGTTGTGTTTGTATATACCGTCAACCAGTAGTGCCTGGTAAACCGTAGGCAGAGAGGGAGAAGAGGACAACAAACGAGGGGCTGTGACAGACTGTTTCATTGAAGTTTCATCGATCCATCAGGAAGCTGAGTACATATAGACAAATGTACATGGATATATACATATACATTATACAAATACATTATACATATACATTATACATATACATATACATTATAAATTATACATTACACATCTACATATACATATACATTATACATTGTACATAAACATATATGAAACTCCGACGAAACAGTTTGTCACAGCCCCTCGTATCTGCCAACGGTTTATGGAGCAGCTCTGTTTGACTATATATACATATACATCATACATTATACACATACATATACATTATACATATATGGCTCAGGGCCTGGTTGCACTAGGGTCTCGCTCCACTACTGTCCACTGTACAAAAACGGACAGTGGTACTTCGCTCCACTTACTGTCCACTGTACATGTGCAAAATGGCTTGGACAGTTTTCAGAAACCCCGTCGGAAATCTACTGTCCGTGAATGTACAGCTCCCAGCCTGCAAAATTCGTTTACTGGAAAGTCCTTCAAGGGACTCACCGTGAGGACCCGAATTTGGACAGTGCACCTAGCGTCGGGGCGGACAAAATCCTTTGGACGCCCTGTCTTGTAGTTCTATCACTGCGTCCGTAGTGAACTCACGAATTTGAGAGGTGGACAGTGGACAGTAAGTGGAGCGATGTCGCACTTTCCACTGTCCGCTGTACAATTTTTCGCTCTGACAACTGTCCAAGAAATGTCCGAAAAATTGTACAGTGGACAGTAGTGGAGCGAGACCCCTACTCTCCATACGCCAAGTTGGCGAGTAGGCGCCTGGTTGCACTTACTCGCCAAACTTGGTGCGAGGAAACCTGTCAGAACTTTTGGCCAGTTTCGTTTTTCAATCCGCCACAGAGTGCGTCAAGTTCCCGACTTTGTACTGCTATTTTGTTGAGGGTCATCCTCGTGCCTCTCCACAAAATAACTTCTTGGCGAGTGCACAGCTTCACGAGTGGAGATCAGGCAGACAGTTTTTTTTTAACTTTTCTGTAGAAGAAATATAGTGACGAGTACGCACAACCAGGCCTCCAGTTCGGCATGATTCTAGTTTGTTTTACTCTCCAATTGTGGCAGATGGCGAGTAGTGCAACTAGGCCCTCAGCCTGCAACTAGGCCCTCAGCCTCCTGATGAGTCGGTGAAACTCCGATGAAACAGTTTTTCACAGCCTCTCGTTTGTTGTCTCGTTTGTTGTCCTCTTCTCCATCTCTGCCTACGGTTTACCGAGCAGTTCTGTTTGACGATATATATACACAAGAACCGGCTGCTGAACCGTAGGCAGAAGGGAGAAAAGGACATGAGGCGGAAGGCTGTGACAGACTCTTTCGTCGGAGTTTTAACCTCTCACTCATCAGCAAGAAGTCCGAAGAACCCTATCATATATTTGGTTGAATTTTCACCGACTCATCAGGAGGGTGAACCTTCTATACATATATATGGGTGTGACAATATATATGGGTAGCACTAAGGGCTTATGCAGGGCCCAGTTGCACTACTCGCCATCCACCAAGTTTGGCAAGTGGGTGCATGGTTGCCCTTACTCGCCAGACTTGAGCGTGTGAAAAACTGTCAGACTGTGTGGAAAGTTTTTCTTTCCATCCGCCACAGCAGTGAAGCTGAATACTCTCCAGAAAGCCATTTTGTGGAGGTTACTACTAGTGGCCCCGCCGCAAAATGGCTTTCTGGAGAGTATTCAGCTTCACAAGTGTAGATCTGACCGACAACCCTTTTTAACTTTTCTGCCGAACCTGGATCGTGGTGAGTAAGTGCAACTGTGACACCTAACTTTGTTCAGACCCGGAATCACGTCCAGAGCATAGCAGAAATAGCAGAAAAAGTCCTAGTGCGAGTATCCCCTGAGAACATGTTGAATGTATAGGGTCCAAAAATCGTCCAAATGCATGTAGATTGTTGTGTAGTGGAGCGAGGCCCTGTTTGAAATAATCGAAACACATCAAAATGGTGCTGGCAGTATCAAACAATAGAAAGGTTTTACAAAAATAGGTGAAATTATCTACGATCAGATATATACACATGGATGTGTGAACTATAATAAAGGTATGTGGTCACTCTAGAGCTTAGGCCCTCGCTCCACTACTCACCAAATGTGCAAATGAGAATGAATCTTCCGCTAGAACATGGAAATATGCATCGGCGTATTTTTTGAAATGTGTCATGTGGAGAGTAGTGGAGTGAGGCCTTTAGTCACTTGATCCTCGCCACTTGTGTGCATCTGCATGGCAACTTTTTTTTTCCCTTTTTTTCTTTTACAGCGTGGCAACAATTCCTCCTCTGTTATGATTCTTCCCAATTTCGAAGTATACATTCATCAGATAGTATAGTGCCGTCCAATTGCAGAAAGAAATGCATGAACTTGAGAGGAGAGAGAGGGTAAGAAGAAGAAAGAAGAAGGAAAGAAGAAGAAGATGATGTACACCAGCATAGACAAATGACAAAGCTCTTCTTCTTCGCCAAACACTCTTCTCCTCCTCCTTTACTCCTCTCTTATTCACACAAGAAGTAATAGTACAATGTTGAATGGCTGATCCAGAATCAATGTCCGAGTTCCTCTTCTACTGCAGGTATCACCTGAGGTCCACCATAGCCATGGCCGCCTCCCTCACTCTTCACTCTCATAGGCCGAGGCTATGGCGGACTACTTGGGCCTTGCCCTGATGTACAAAGGACAACGCAAAGCAGCTCTGGCTGCTCTAGCTCAGGCCGCCATGCCTGACGCTGCCTCGAAGCTTCTTCTTGTAGCTCTATGGCTGCTGTAGCTCAGGCCGACTCTGCCTCGAAGCTTGTTGGTGTAGCTCTATGGCTGCTCTAGCTCAGGCCGCCATGCCTGACTCTGCCTCGAAGCTTCTTGGTGTAGCTCTCCCCCAGCTGGGGTCTCCCTGCTGCAGCGCCCACCAAGGTGATGAAGATGGCTGCCACCATAGCCAGCTAAGTACCTCTGGCGGTCCCCCTTCCTCCTGGTCTTCTTCCTCCTCCGTGTCCTTGCTCCTTCCACAGCAGCGCTGCTCTTGCTAGCGCTGCTCCAGCCAGCGCTCCAACCAGTGTGTCGCCAAACTTGCACACCGACAATGAGGCTGGGCTCTTCGCCCGGCCTGGAGATATAGCTGCCTGCTTGCCTCTTGGGCGGTGACTTCCAGGCCGCTCGACCTTCCCAGCAACCGGTACCTCCTCCCTTTCGGAGGGAAACATCATTGCAGACTCTGATATTGCCCGTACAGGCGCTAGACTCAGACTGGTTGGACTGGTACCCGCCTAGACCTAGCCTACAACTACTGGGCCTCTCAAAATGCCACTTTTGTCTTCTTCTGCTCGGCCTCCAGTATCTGCACATCTACCTCTTCAGGGTGCGGTACCGGCCTACCTGCTACTTGAGTGTTTTCCGCCGCTGCAATCCTCAATGTCACGGCCACAGGTAAGTACCGGCCCTGAGGGCCCAACGAACGAATAAGTGCCCTTGCGGGTCACACACACACTCAAGCCAACCAACACTCAGGCAGACACGCAGCCCAGCAAGCGTGCACACACACACAGACATGCAGAACTTAGTAGCAAGCGGGAAACTCAGCAAGGCATTCAGTCCGTGAGCAAAACTCAGAAATCAACTGTGTCTCAGTCCGTGTTTGGTCGGGTCATCACGCCTCTCGAAAAAACTACTCTTTTTTTTTTTAAACCACCAGTACCTACCGGTTGTTAAGGTCCGTGGCTCAGGCTACCGGTAGCCCGGTCATTCCTGAGCCTCGGACTTTATTGCCGAGCCTCGGACAACCGGTAGGACACAACGGAAAAAAATAAATAGAAAAAAAAACAAAAAGAAACATACAACATTCTGCAAAAAAAAAAAAAACAAACGAAATCAGACCTTTCCAACGAGAACGAATCTTCCTCGATAAAGGGGAAGATTCATTCTCACGCACGTGCACGCGTGCGCGCACGCGAGAGAGAGAGAGAGAGAGAGAGAGAGAGAGAGAGAGAGAGAGAGAGAGAGAGAGAGAGAGAGAGAGAGAGAGAGAGAGAGACGTTCTTTTCTCTCTCTCTCTCTCTCTCTCTCTCTCTCTCTCTCTCTCTCGTTCTTCTCCCCCTTCCCCCCCTTCCCCCGCCCGCGCTTGTTTGTGTTACTTTTCATTTTTGTCGAGTTTTTTTTTTTTTTTTGGCGCGTTTTTTGGGGACTACCGGTCGCACGCCGGTGGGTATCCCGTGCGACGCGGCGCGTTAACGGCCGCGTCGAATTCCTCAAGCAGGGAGAGGTACTGGTGGTTTAACAAAAACAGAACCTTGTGGTTCTGGCTCCTTTCCATTCTGGGAAGCGTCAGTCCAGTTCCTATTCCACCGGCAAGTCAGAAATAGTTACATTGAGTACTCACACACGCTCCTCCCCCTTATAGTGTGAAGGCCCGAAAGATGGCATTGATTACTTCCCCAGGAAGGATGTACCACACTTCACCCCTGCCTAGGTTAGCCTGTTTGACGTACTCTTAGACTTGGAAGGCCTCTCGGACTTATGGGCCTGTCCTGCAGTTACTGAAGGCTTGCTTATGTGGGCTGACTCTAGCTTTTCCTCTCAGCTGTATGGCTGTTTACAGCTGTCAGATCTGTGTGGATTGCTGGTAGAGCTTGTTCAGCCTTCATTTGCGCTCTTGTCTATTACTCTAGACTTACCTTTCTCAGCGCTGTAGTGTTCGTTAGCCTTAGGCTGCGGATCAGGCTTCTAAGTTTAACAGGTTCCTTTTCGCTTGAAGTGCTAAACCCTAAACCCTCTTCCCTTACCTACTTATGAGGGGTGGTATAGTGTCGGTGGAAGGTTATTAGGAGTAGTGGGGGGCTTAGTGGGTGTGGGATAGCCAAGCGAGGGTGGTAGACTTTTTCGGTGGGGTGGAAGGTGGAGGGGTGGGGGGTGCTGGTGGGCATGTAGGGCTGTCTGTTCCTTTTTATTTTTCGGGGGAGAGATGTTGTGGGAGAGATGGAGTGGGGACTGTGAGTAGAGAGTTGTTGGGTTAGACGGAGTGATGTGTTATGAGGGCGTTTGACTCCGTGGGTGGGGGTGGGGTGTTGGTGGGGGGTGAGGTGAGCACGTGTTCTGCACTGGTGGTAGTGTTAGCCAGTTTTTAGGGGGAGATGGAGAAGGGGATGATTGAGTTAATGCGAATATGGGAGGAGTTAGATCAAATATTTGGTACTTAGGGATTGTTGTGGGCGTTGTAATGTTGTAAGTGTAAGAGGAGTCGGGTTGCAGTGGCTGCGGACTGGTTCAGCTTGATCCTTCATATCAATTTCGACGGTCTGGTACTTTGTACGAGTGGAGAGTGCTGGAGAGTTCGGTTTGTCCGATGTGTGGTGGTGAAGGGCTGTGTTGTGTGGAGGTGGATGTGTCACGTGGGAGCGCTTTGTGGTGTTCAATGTGGGGGATGTGTTGGGTGGATGATGGTTGTTTGGTGTGGGGTAGTATGTGGTAGGATTTGGGTTGCTGTGTGTATGTTACGGTTGCTGCTATTGTTTGTGGGGGGCAGGATTAACCAGCTGCTTAGGTTAAGGGTATCGTTTTTAATTGTTCCTAGGTGGCCCGATCCTAGTTTTTGGACTATGATTTTTTGTGTTATTTCTGCTTTTTTGTCAGGTGCTATGCTTATTTTTTTTCGGGTTTTCCTCCATTGTGCTACCAATTCTGTTTCTATCATATGCTTTATTGTGTTTATTGGGTCCTTGGGATTGATAGGGTGTTCTTCGAAAGTTTTGTCGCATCTTCTTTTCCATAGACTCCGAAGGATTGCTTTTCTGATTAGGGAGAAGAAGAAGGCTTCAAAGCCTTTTAGAGGGGGGGGGGGTGTTCCAGTTCTAGAAATATAGTGTCGGGGCTTATCATGATCGCCTTGCTTGAGAGGGTGCTCCAAGTCTGTTCTATCTCGTGCCATAGTTTCCTGGCCTCTGGGCAATCCATAAAACAGTGGTTTAAAGTTTTCGAGGTTTGTAGGTTACATACTTTGCACCAGGAATCCTGTTCAGATCTGTTTTCCTTTTTGCATCTTTGTGCCAGCCAGTGGTTCACCGGAACTGCTCTGAAGGCTATTAGCCATCGTAGGCTGGCCAATCTAGTTGGTCTGGTACAGAAAATTGAGGACCAGGGAAAGGATATTCGAGCTTCGGCGAGTGTGTTTTCCTCGTTGTCCCACCTTTTTTGTAGGGTATTGGTTATTGAGGACGGTTTTGTGAAGAGGCGGGATCCTAGGTTGGGTTTGTAGTTGGTAAGTTTGTGACATATTGATATACTAGAGAGGGTGTTGGTAGTGCTCCAGGACCATTCAATAGGCTCAATTTCTAATTCTTGGATGCTGTACTCAGGTTTGAAGACCCTGTTTTTTTCCCCTTCGATGTCCCTTATTCTACGTAGGTTGTGTACTTGGAAGGTTGCCTCTGCTCTGCTTGTTGCGTTCAGAAAACTTACTGGATTGCCTGGTTCGTGGAAGGTGAAGATGTCACAACAAATCCAGTTGTTGTTTTGGGTTTCATAGGATTTGAATTTCAGGATCTCTACTAATCGTTCTTGATCCTTTTGAGCTGCCCAGTCGCCGAACTGCCACTTTTGGTTAGTGGATAGTAGGTGTCTCCACGCTATTGCGATGTTCTCGATGATCCTATTAATGCTTGCTTGAAGGTTGTGGGTGCCTTGCATGGTTGGTCTTAGATCTTTTCCTGATTTCCATTTGTTGGTTGTATCATCCCATAAGTGCTGGATTTGCCAGATGCCTTTTTCTATCCATAGTCCCCATTTGGGTTCTGATTTGGAGAGAGCGAAGCATTCACCTTTCTCATTCTTTATCCAGGGGTTTCCAAAGAGGGGTTGTCTGAGTACTTCGTCTCTTCTTTTGGGTCCTATCTTATTCTCGGGAAATATGTTCCTCCAATTGTATGTGGTTTGCGACCATAGTGATTTTGTGGGTTCGCCATCTTGTGCGTCAACTTGAGCTAGCTGTCGGTTTAGGGATGTTTTGTTCTTGGGAAGAGGCCAGTATTTGTTGTAAACCCAAAAAATTCCTGTCATGTTGTCAGGAGATTGAAAAGGGGCCATCTCCCTGATGTGAGGGCAAGCGGAGTCCAAAGTAGATTATCGTGAAAGAGATTCTTAAGATCCACTTGATTTGGCGGGCTTGGATCTGCCGGGCTGGGTCAAGCAGACCCAGACCACCTTTGGCTTTAGATTGTGTGACTGTGTGCCAAGCTACCTTGTGAATGAAGTGTTGTTTGTCTGGGTTTCCTGTCCACAGGAAAACCCGCGGCTTTTTTCCTGATCTGGCTTTGGAATTCTTATGATGGGAACCATATGGAGGTGGCATACCACATCATGGCTAGGATTGAGTTATTGCGGGCTAGTACTTTGCCTAATAATGAGGTGTGGACGTTCTTCCACGAGTGCATTCTATTAATCATGGATGATAGTAGGGAGGCCGCCGATGTGTTGTGACAACCTTTTGCATTTAAGTTGATTCCTAAGAAGCGAATCGGGGCAGCGAGGTCTACCCATTGCAACCCTTCTGGTGTGAGTTCTACTGGGGGGGGAGGGATATTTGAGAACCACCAGCCAGTTGTTTTAGTCTAGTTCACTTTCATTTCAGAGGCTAATTTGTAGCGGACCCACCAGGTGTGGTGCTCCGCTAGTGACAGAGATGGAGATGGAGGAAGAAGGGGGAGCAAGATGGCACAACGCAGCTCCCCACGCAAGACTCCAACGCACGTACTCCAAAATGTGCAAGTGAGGAATGAGACTGAAAACAGACAATGGCTGGGGTATACCCCAGCAGACTGACGGGATTGGACTGGACTGGCTGGTACCGACAGAGGTACCGGCYTGAACTGGCCTACCCCGAATATAACACAGGCCTGTGAGAACAGGCCAAGGGGCTGGTCTCACAGGCCAACCCGAGGTCCGCTACACGATCCGCGACCTGTGATGTATCGCCTAGATACAAACATGCTTCCGCCAAGAAGCGGAACTCTACCAAAGAAAAGAAAACCTAAGTAGTCTAGGATGCGGAGCAAGCTCCATGCTGAGTCCATGCGATGCAACCTAGGATATAAAATGTCACAAAACAGCAATGTCACAGCTAACAGCCTAAGTGAAAGTAGGAGCAACTAACTAACATACATGTCCTAGGAAAGCAAAAAGTAGTGACAACTAGATCCTAGAATGTTGG